CAATAATTAATATGAAAAATAAATTTCAAAAATAACATTCACCTATGTAGCTAAATAATTTCATACATTTGTAACTATTCTATTAATTACTTCGAATTTTTTTAGTATAAAACAAATGCATTTAAATGTACAAGACTTGCATTAGTGTTACAATTTAACTGTGTATTAGAATAATATAATAGTGAGAATAATATTGAAAACAAGACATGATTATTTAAAGAATCATTTTAATTGTAAAAGTCTTTATCTTGCAATCATTTTTATTCTATATTACATAGAATATATTCATTAACATAAATGTATTAATGAATTTGTAATCAAATGCTTGGTATTGCGCATGCGCCTGAATCCGGTGTTGCTTTTCGTGAAAACGTACGAGATTGTCACATTCAGTCACATTATTTGCATGCTTGTTTAGAGAAACTTCATTACATATGAGTAGACGGTAATTAATGACAATAATTTTCGTGAATCGTTAAGTTACTACGAGATAAGAAAATGTTGCTGAACGATTGTCCGGATCCCGAAATAATTGGCTGTGGATTCAGCGCTTTCAAGGAAATTGACGAAGTGACTTCTCTGATTTCGGAATTGAAAAAATCTGATTTATCGCCGAGTCTTGTTGAAAAAAATCGAGACCGATTCAATTTTATTTTGTCACAATACCAGGACCAGAGGCAATTATTGGATCCTTATCTAGATGTCATTCTGCAGCCACTGATTGAAATTGTCAGAGATAAACACTCAACAGAGTGTATGCAACATAATGCATTCAAATATATTTTCGTTGTCATGTCCGTCAAAACATACAAAAAGATTGTCACCTACCTTCCGCACGAGGTACACAAGAATTTAGTTTTCATTTGTTCTATTCATTCCTATATTTACAATATCACTTTGTTTTATATAGGTAGCAGATCTTCTCCCGGTTCTACGAATGTTAGAAAAGCAGGATCCGAACAATGTAGAGACATGGGAAACTCGATATGTGCTTCTAATCTGGCTCTCTATAATATCAAAAATACCATTTCCACTTTCAAGGCTAGAAACTTCTGATGTAGAATCAGAACAGTTAATAACAGTTAGAATTTTGAAAATATGCAAATTGTTTTGTTTGTCAAAAGATGCCTGTGCTGTAGCTGCAGTCTTTCTCATTGCAAATTTCTTAACAAGATCTGATGTCAAGAAGTTATATTTGAAAGAAATGATTGTATGGTGTATAGAGTGTGTGAAGAACGATCCTTTCAGACATGGCCCATTGGCTGTTATAGCATCTATACTGAAGCATAGCGCAAGAGAAGATGTTAAACCATATACTCAAAAAGTTTTAGATGAACTCTTACAGCTTCGCTTAAATGATAATCCTGCAGATCTCAGTAGGAAGTTTGGGATAAAAATTGTGCAAAGACTTGGACTGGTATTATTGGGAACAAGACTTGCATCGTGGAGATATCAGAGAACCAGTCGTTCTATATGTTTACAACTTAATGTCAAATCTCCAAATTCTGTGGAAAATTTGGAGGAAATTAAGGAAGTTCCAGTCAATCATGAAGATCAAGATATTCCACCAGCAATAGAAGATATTATCGAACACTTGATACAAGGTCTTCGAGATAAAGCAATCACAATCCGGTGGTCTGCTGCAAAAGGAATTGGTAGAATTACTGCAAGGTTGCCGATGGATTTAGCAGATGATGTTGTTGGATTTGTATTGAACTTGTTCAGTGGTCGAGAGTCAGATTCTGCTTGGCATGGTGGGTGTTTGGCATTAGCAGAGTTAGGAAGACGTGGACTCATATTACCTCATCGTTTAAGTGATGTGATACCAGTGGTTTTGCAAGCTTTGGTCTTTGATGAGCCGAGAGCATATGGATCAATTGGATACTTGATCAGAGATGCTGCATGTTACATTTGTTGGTCGTTCCCTAGAGCATATGACCCAGATATTTTTCAACCATATGTGAAAGAAATAGCAGCTACATTGGTTATTGTCACTTGTTTTGACAGAGAAATTAACTGTAGAAGAGCTGCATCTGCATCATTTCAAGAAAATGTTGGCAGGCAAGGAAACTTTCCACATGGAATAGAGATATTGACTATTGCTGACTATTTTGAAGTTGGTGTCAGAAATCATGCATATTTAAAGATTAGTATACAAATTGCCCAATATGAAGAATACACAAAACCACTCATTGACCATTTGGTGGCAAGGAAAGTCACTCATTGGGATACAGCAATTAGAGAGCTTTCAGCCAAAGCACTTTTTAACTTGACATCTGCTGATCCAAGTTACATCAAAGATACTGTTTTACCAAGCTTACTAGAAATGTTAAATTCAATTGATTTGAACATAAGGCATGGTGCTGTGTTAGCAATCGCAGAGATTTTAGAAGCATTGCACAATTGTTACAATGAGAAAGTTGAAAATATTATTGGAACAACTGCTATGGAAAACATAAGAAACATAGTCGGCACATTACGCAAAAGAGGACAGTTCAAAGGCCTGGGAGGAGAGTTAATGAAGCAGGCTTGTGCGGTCCTCATAAGAAAGTGCTCAATTGTACACTTTCCAATTTCTATGGAAGTAATTTGTATGTAAATATTGCACTTATATGGTTTTATACTTGTAGAAATGATTACTTTTGAAATAAATCTGTTTATAGATGATTGGCAGAATCTTTTGGAAGAATGCTTAGGTCATGAGGTATCTATAGTAAGAACAAAAGCTGCTGAAGCACATACAGAATTCTTTTTTAAATACTATGCCAATGTACAGAGAGAAGAACGTGATATAGTTATTAATCGTTATCTCGATAACTTGCAGTCAAGCAATCAGCTTGTTCGAATAGGTTTTGCGCAAGCTATAGGTAACTTTTTATACATTAAATTCAATAGTTAGTTGTATAGTACTTTTATTGTATTTAATATTGATATACTTTTCTTTAGGATACTTTCCTTTGTTTATAATTTGTGAGAGAGTAAAGAACGTGATACAATCTCTAATTAAGTGTACAGAAATATCAGAACTGTCATTGAAGTGGGCAGAAAGTAGAAAGGAAGCCATCCATGCATTGATAATGGTGTGTCAAACATTGGGAGTAAAAGAAGCAGGTTTGTTAGTATATTTGACTAGTTTAAAATGTTTTTAGTGAAACATATATTATAATGTCTCCTAACTTTTCAGATAAATGGGAAATATTTGTGCACGATTTATACAATTGTTATCTATTGGCGTTGAAGGAGTATACAATAGACAGTCGTGGGGATATAGGAGCGTGGGTACGAGAGGCAGCGATGACGGGTTTACATGTAAAAACGATTTTTTGTATAAATCAATGGTCTCTGTTATATTATTTAGATTAACAATTCATGTACAATTTTAGATGCTAACGAATTTAGTGTTTCAAGCAAATTTAGTGTCTGTACTGAATGAAGAGTTGATGGCGAAGGTAATTGGAGGAGTAGCACAACAGGCTGTAGAAAGAATTGATGGAATTCGAGCACAAGCGGGAAGTGTTTTCAGTGCGCTCATTCACAATGACCCTCCTCTACCAAACATTCCATATCACACAGAATTAAAAACCATCTTCCCATATGAAGAATGCAAAGAGACCATAGAATGGCGAATGGAGTCTGCAACTTTTCCAAGATTCATTGAGATGCTATCGTATCCTCCTTATAAAATGAATCTACTGCAAGGAATTGTATTCAGTGTTGGAGGTCTCAGCGAGTCTTTAGTGAGTAGAATAAGTACACTGAAGATTAAATTGTTTTACAATACTTGTATTCAAATGTTTATTTCAGGTGAAACACTCTAGTGTCTCGTTATTTTCTTATTTGCAAGAAATAGGTGAATCAGATATCAGAGATATATGCTACAAGATATTAACGATTTTCAAAGAAAGTCATAAAAATGAGAGAATGATCACATCGATCTTAGCTTTTTTGGATCGATTGCTTAGCTCCGGCTGTATCCAAATTATCCTCGATGATGCCGAAAATGACATTGCTGAGAAAATTTTAATGCTTCTCAAACAGGAGATAAAAAATTCTAATAACACGAAGTTGTTGATTAGTAGCATAAATGTATTCTGCCAGCTCTTACAGGTATTTCGATTATTATAACTGAAATAGAAAAGTTATTATAGTATGAAAAGTAGTTATTACGACCAGAATAATGGCTGTAGGTACGAGGACCAGTTGGCAAGAGAGCATTCTGTCAGTTGAGTATTTTCCTTTGTCACAAGTATAAATGTATACGCAAAGTAGCAGCAACGAAAACTTATGAAGCTTTAACTCTGTATGGAGAAGATATGGATCTCAGTGAAGAAAATTTGATGAAAATCTTAACTGAATTGAATGTTACGGATTGGGAAAGATCGGTTGCCGAATTACGACCGATAAGAAATCAACTTTGCGAATTAATGGAGGTACCCACTCCAGTTCTGCAAAACAAAGTTGCGAATTAAATATTGTTTAGAAACATTGGTAAGTGTGATTTTGGAATAAAAAATATTCGATTATCATTAATACTTTATTAGGAAATGATTTTATAAAACATACTTCAGCACTGTTTGCTGACATATAATTTCATCTTATCTGCATTAAATTTTTCTATATTAATGGTTAGATTGTTCTTTAAGTTATGCATCAAGATTTTGGCCCCACATTTTTCTATAACCCATTGCTCTGTCCACCAGTTCGTATGATCAATTTCATTTGTTATGGGATTTCTTGGTAATGGGCAATCATAGTGTTCCGAACTGACTATTTTTGTTGGTTGATCTGTTTGTTGTACACTTTCGCAAACCAAACATTCAAATTCGTCTACGTAGTTTCCGAATTCCGTTCGAGACCACTCATTATTTCTATTGAAAGCATTTTTTAGCTTTTGATTTTCTACTTCATAATTATCGATCAATTTGTGTGACAGGTATTTATTGTATTCAGTTTCGTTGTTGGTAAGATTATTTAAAAAATTGGCTAAACTCTTTGGATCTTTGAAATCGAGTACTGAAATTGCAGACATATTGTTTGGTAGCCAGTCCTGAAATCATGAAATCATCATTAAATCAATTTAATATATTTAATTAGAATAAAATTCATAGTTTTAATACCCTAAATGACGGTGATCCATAATATATAGGTACAGATCCGACTATAAGAGGTCGCCATAATTTTTCCGTGATATAATCTTGACAGACTGCATTCTCGAAAGCTATAGTAAATTTGTAATTGGCAATGAAAGAGAGAAAATCCTCGCTGTTTAACTTTTCGAGGTAATTTTCTTTCAGCCTACATTATAATCATAATATTTGCCAGATTAATAATAAATAAATAAAATCGACATTTCCCAATCTATAGATATAAATCACCTTTTATCGAACTGAGCATTATTCAAACATGTGCCATATGAATCAACACGTATGTACTTCATCAACTCTGCTACATAAATATCTCTATTACTTGCAGTATCACAGTCAGATTGTATGTAAAGCAAGGGGGCAAGGTTCTCTGTGTTGATTAATCTTGTCTTTTGTTTGGTCGACACAAAATACTTTCTATCTGCAAGTTTGTGCAAATAAATTATTGAAATACATTCCAATTCCATTGCTCCTAGTAAATTATAATGTTAGTAGCGTCACTGTATGTAATAGTAATGAAAAAAAAAAACATAGTAGTAATATTTCTATTGAAATTTTTATTTACCCAACAATTCTCTAATTCCAGGTAAATCGACCAAAGTAAGGGGCACATCACTAAATCTGCTGAACGTTGAGGAATACTTAAAAAGATTCAGGATCTCCTGTTGCACCAAAATAGGATTGTTTCTTGGGGATTCTTCGTGAAGCAAACCCCATGGAGCTTTATAGGGATTCCATTCTGGTAAATCATCAATTTGAAAACTGCTACCATAAAACAGAAAACTCTGGAAGTTAAAATAAGAGTAAATTAATTTAAAATAATTTAATGTAGATTATTAGTAATTTATAACTGTAATCATGATAACAGATTAATTTTTATACAAATATTTCTAAAAAGAAAATCGATAACATTACACTTATTTTTGGGTGATATCGATAAGTTCGATTGCTTGTAAAATAACAGGAATGTTTCCCGCATTTACGAACTTTCCCATCGTTTCCGAAAGGGGTCCACCATAAAATTACAGGAATATCCACTGCTGGACAAAATATTGATACTCTTAATTATTAATACTTTTTTTTTCCTTTTATGCATTTATTCTATAATAATGTTTATTTAAATAACAAAAGTTTATTGATCTTTATATACCTGAATCTAGTGATTCGTTGATGAATTGAACTAATTGCACCTGTAAATTATTTCAAGCTAAATTATTGAATTTAGCATAATAGGAACATGATAAAGAATTTCTTGATTTGCTGTTTAATAATAAATACATAAGTAACACATTTTAATAAATCGAAAATAAATATTGATTTCAATTTAAGATAATAAAAAATGTTGGCAAC